ACAATAGAGAAACACTTCCGGGGCATCAAGTGGAACCGGATGTGGTATCTGAATAGGAATGGTCAGTGCGTATGCAAATGACTGCACAGGAAACCACGGCACACAAGCTGCTGATAGATATCATGCAATCACGCTTGGCATTACAAGTTCAAGTGATGGCGCTAACATAAGAAAATAAGTAGCAATTATGCCAGAATCGTCTAAGCGCAGAAAGAATCGCGAATCTATTTAGCTATAGTAACATTTTATCCAATGCGACTTTCCGAAGACTTACTTTTCATTTCCATTAGACCATTACATTTGTTCTAATACTAGAATTAAGTGTCCGGATTCTCAGAGGATAATGGAAGAAAGTTTTATTACCCCCATCCTCTACCTCGTGCGTGTTAGTCTCCACCGCTGCAGTATATGTGGTAGAAAATCCACGGAGGAGCGACCACAACATGAGCCTCCTGTCTTTGTTCCTCTCGAACGTGCTATTTTGTTCGAGCCGTCAATGTCCCATTTCAGGGTATGTTTGGTGATTTTTTGTTCGTCTCTTCTCATTAGTTTCTGTAGCAATAATGTTTTTTTTTTTTTACAGTGGCAGCTGACCTCTGATTGGTTGGGGCCTCATAGACCAGTTCTTCCCATTGTTAGTGCTATCACCAACTTAGCACAGTGACTCAGGCCGTGACGACTATGCGTTACACTTAGGCATGTTTGCAGTTCACAAAATCTGACCGATAAAGCAATCACCTCCCCTAACGCGTTCAATGTGATTTTTAAAATCAAGGTCGTGGACATAAGAGAAAAAAATATTTTAGGAAATATATAACTAGAGCTAAAGTTTACTTCTACTGGCTGCCCGCTTAAATAAAAGAAATGAACATAAACCTGGCCGCCAATGGGACTGTAGAATTAAACATTGCCAATGTAGCTATAATGACAATTGAAAAACTAACCTGTCTAGTGAATACGGTTTAGGAGAAGTTAACAGTTGAATTGAAATGAACATTCAGACTACAGGATGGCATATGTGGTTTATAGTGCAGATCTAACATGATGTATGGTATCTAGGCCGTATTAGTTATGTCTCTGGAGGATTTCGACCGAGTATATTTCTCGCATTTGTATTCTTCTTCTTCTACCTTTTCATCATCAACATCCACTGGTTTAGAAGGTCAGATGTTGAGTACCCAGTGCGGAAAATTTCCACCACTGCCCCTTTTTCGTTTAGTTAGTAAGTTAGTTAGTCTTTCCTCTTGTGTCGAGTGCGGCACATAGGGCAGAGGTCATGACTCTCTATGCATGGCGGTTCGTTGCAATCTGTTGTAGGTCTTGGATGTTTGAGTGGCCCATGAGCGAGCCTTCCCTGATGATAGTTCTACATAGAGTTTCCCTTGGTCTTCTACGAGATCTTTTCCCCTGTGGTGTCCAAACGAGGGCTTGGTAAGGAAGTCTTGATTTATCCATTCTAAGGGCGTTGCCGACATAGTTCCAGCGGCGTTTTCGTATAAAATTAGACACATACTCTTGCCTGGATTCTTGCCTTATTTGTGTATTGGTTCGGAAATCTGAACATTTGAAATTTAGTATTCTTCTAAGGCTTTTATTTTCAAAACTGTCTAATTTTGTGTCTAGAGTTTTCGTTGATTTCCAGCTCTCGCATCCATAGGTTAGTACTGGGATCACACAAGAATTAAAGATTTTGAGTTTTGTGTGTTTGCTAAGTGTCTTTGATTTCCAGATGTTGGACAGTTTATTGAAGGCACTAGATGCCAGTGCTATTCTAAATCGTATACGCACGCATATATATATATATATATATATATATATATATATATATATATATATATATATATATATATATATATATATATATATATATATATATATGCGCGTGAGTGCTTTATTTAAATACACATATTTTCCTAATTTGCCACCCATTCAGTGATAACACCACCATCATCATCACCTTCTTCTTTTTTGCTTCTGACTTATTCCTTCTTCTTTTATCACCATTCCTGGTGTCTTCCAGCTTCTTCTTCCATGTCTTGCATTTCAGCAACAGGTCAAGATTGGATGTCAAGCGCTAACTCTAATGCGTGCTTCTACACTCAAGTCTATAGTCCTATATATTTCATCGACCCTATGTTTTTGCAGTGCACCTCTCCTTCTATCTCCGTCGTTTCTAAGTACTAAATAAAACTACAGTGGACCACTATCTTTTGATAATTTTGTTACGTGGTCAAACAATCTAAATGTTTTAAACATCAGTTATGTCTTCTTCTCAATAAAACTATAAAGTGCGTCCACATGGTGCTATCATTAGTCCCTTATATTTCATCGACCCACTGTTTGTGCAGTACACCTCTTACTCTATTTTCTGCTGTTTCTAAGTGCTAAGCAAAACTCTAGTGGGCCCCTATTTCCTGCTAATGTTGTTATGTGACCGAACAACCTATCCGTTTAAAATACAGGTTATGTCCATGTTCTCATTAGTTGATTTTACAATTGAGTCAGAAAAAAAAAGATTCATTCAATAAAGTTATATAATTATTTAGATACTACTGCACAAACCTACAATAAATAATAAGCTGGTAGAGGATTAATTGAACAAGTATAAGGGTTTTATCATTGGCAGGATGAGCGATCGTCACATAATGACAAGTTCAATCATTTAATGCATAACAGTAAGATATGATGATGGACGAATAAAACACAAAGCATGTATAATTTACTGAATACACCATACTCCATGCGGTCCTGTTCACGTTTCCCGGCCTAATTACACATTACCATACTTTCTCAGATTCTTTCTCGTCGGAGGGATGTCACGTTGTCTTCCCTCCTATTTTATCAGCGCCGATGTCGCATGTTCTATACTACATGACGACACAGCTTTTAACGACCTAGAACATGTAGAACTGGCCCTAACCCAAACTCCCTACCCATAGCCGCAACCTAGGTCACACGAGAGACTCTCTTCGAAAAAAGCAGTACAAAGTGACACCCCTCTGACCCACATCAGACGGAGAAAGTGTGTAGATGGGGCGGGAAACGTGAACAGGTCGCTCCATACAAATAAACGCACGAAGTGTAACACACACACAATACTTTTTGGGTATGCCACTAAACAAGGGGAAGTAACACTGAAGGATTAGCCGCCCTGCCGGGCCAACAACACACATACGATCAAACCTGCATGGGAGAGAAGAGAACCAACCACACAGGCGCCAACAAAAATACGTGATCACTTTCACAAGATACATCAGACAATAATGGCGACACAAACTGGCCCACACTTCAAACATCTACTGAGCTACACATTCCATTTCACTTTAACCCGCTAATGCAATTTTGCCCTAGCTATAATCAAAACACTATTAAGCCAAATTTGTGTCATGGACAGTACAGTTAACTGACTGTGCCTGGCTGGTTACTTATTTAAATATAACAACAGTCATTTCCTTGTGGGATGCCTATTTTGTGCTGGCTTCTTGCCAGGGGCCGCAAAATAGCAGTGGCCATAAATATGGTCTAAATGGCTGAACGCGGATTCCGGGACCTCTCCACGTTACTCTCATGTACATCAACACTTTGTGTCATCGGATGTTCAATCGCTTGTGATGATGTCCTAGTGGGGTGCTGACTACTATCAAATACAACACCGTACCTACTGAATGCATCCAAATGTCAGAGGCACAATTTTTAAAAATCAACAAGCAAATCGACGGGGTAACTAACATAAAAACCGGGACTGATGGGATATTACTGTTATGGCACTTTGTGTCATGGGTGTTATGTCGTGCCTTGGTGTATTGAATTATATTTTTTATTATTATTATATCGATTTGGCTATCGTCCCAAAAATGAAATACCGTTTCTTCACGAGTATATCTGTCTTACTATTATATATATTATAAAAAAGGAATTTAGGCAGCAGTTCCCAAACACCATTTTTTGGGGTGGGGGGAGGGGGTGGGGGCATATTTTGCAGGGGCGCCTATTATTATTATTACATATTATTCAATGACGTAGTATCGAAAGGAAATTGCTATCCAATGGAACGGTATATTATTATCATTAGGAAGGTTTGGGAACCACTGATTTAGAGTAACAAAAATAGTACTGTAATGGCAAGACTCCAGGAATATTATTCCGTTAAAAAAAACTGACTGATAAAGGGGGCTAATAGTAATAGGTTATACTTTTTATGTGTCACCGAAGGTTGAGTAAAAAACGAGTATACATTTCTAAATACTTTTATATATTATTACCCTTATTAATCAAAAACATCTACACTATAATATGCCGAATCAAATACAACACCGAAATGCATGAAATATGGCAGGACACACTTTACAAATCAACTAGCAAATCGACTTTCAATAGAAATAATGATATTATTACTGTTATTGTTATGATCATTATTAGTGCCTTTATTATTATCATTTTTATTAATATTTTAGGATTTGGCTATCCCCAAATACCATTATTAATTATTATTATTGTTATTATTATTATTATAAAAGGATCGGGCTATCCCATTCAACATTATTATTATTATGAAAGGATTCGGCTATCCCATACAACATTATTATTATTATGCAAGGATTTGGCTATCCCCATTCAACATTATTATTATGAAGGGATTTGGCTATCCCCATACAAAACTATTATTATTATTATTATTATGAAAGGATTCGGCTATCCCATACAACATTATTTTTATATTATTATTTTTATTATGAAAGGATCTGTCTATCCCATTCATCATCATTATTATTATGAAAGGATTCGGCTATACCATACAACATTATTATTATTATGCAAGGATTTGGCTATCCCCATACAACATTATTATTATTATGAAAGGATTCGGCTATACCATACAACATTATTATTATTATAAAGGGATTTGGCTATCCCCATACAACATTATGATTATTATAAAGGGATTTGGCTATCCCCATACAACATCAAGAAATGGGCAATGTGTGGCTCAGTACAATTACCATGTACGAGTGACTAGTAAGGGAAGAGCTGGCGCCCTCCCGATCGCCGACAGTATTCCCGGCGCGCATTTCGATTTTCTGAAAAGACATGGTAAAACCTCAACATAGTTATCTCAAAACACCCACACACTTACAAACACAAAGGGCAGAGTTAGCTGGGGCAAACCACTCAGATAATAATTAGAGGAGATAGTCGTCCAGAGACTATTGTTAATACATCCAAGAAAAATACATGAAAAAACCTCAATATATTCATGTCAAAAATAGACACATAGAAAAGGGATAGCATTCAGATATGACACAGATCAGACAGTCACACAGACAGTTACAGATGGTGCAGTCACCCACATATAGCATACCAGATTTGGAAGTTAACATCGATATATCAGAGTAAAGGACACACAGCTTCAAAGCAGTTATTTCAAACACACACACAGAGCAAGAGAGAGAGAGAGAGAGAGAGAGAGAGAGAGAGAGAGAGAGAGAGAGAGAGAGAGAGAGAGAGAGCGAGAAGAGTTATTTTGAATATACCATTCAGTTATAGTATTATGTAACACAAGTTATCAATACATTAACACAAAGGACAAGATAGACAAAACACAACACAGTTATGTTAAGACTGTGTCAGGACGTGGTTGATGCATAATAAAGTTGATTTAAACATAAAAGAAAATATGATAATAAACTATCACAGTGTGTTTAGATATACATAAAAAGCATGGTAAAATGGCATCAAAGAAGTCTGGAGACGTTAGGCAATATGTCATCCATGTTGGTCAAAATACACGAAGGACAGCGTGACAAGTCAGTAAATTTGGCAGAAACACAACTGCATGGTGACTAATCATCAAAGCTGGTTGACACAGACAGGAAAGGCGGGTCAATGTGTGAGTAAAATATGGGTGAAAACACCGCAAAGACCTAGTAACAGGTCATCAAAGTTGGTTGAAACACACAAGAAACATGGTAACACAAAGTTACGCCCAGACCCAAAAGCTAGGTTAAATAGAAATCTACTTAATAATAATAAAAATAATAATTATTATTATAATTATATTTCAACAATAACAACAGGGGCGACAAAATGGCATCACAGTTTTAATTACACAGTTAAAAAGACATAATTATGTCACCACAGTCTGTCAAATACATTCTGTCACACACAACAAATACAGTTAAGTTAGAAATATCTACTACATCAAATGTGATCATTAAAGGACAGGGAAGATACGGAATAAGCTGCACTTGATGATACAGTAGGACGACTTGGCAGCAGATAGTTGAGGTACTATGCTCCGCGAAGAGATAAAAAAAAAAGTATCATCAGCAGACGTAGTAGTGAGGGGTAGTAGTAGTAGTAGTAGTAGTAGTAGTAGTAGTAGTAGTAGTAGTAGTAGTAGTAGTAGTAGTAGTAGTAGTAGCAGCAGCAGCAGTAGTAGCATTTGCAGTAATACTACTACTAGTAGTAGTAGAAGTGGTGGTAGTAGTAGTAGTAATAATAATAGTAGTAGTAGTAGTTGCAGTAATACTACTACTAGTAGTAGAAGTGGTGGTGGTAGTAGTAGTAGTAGTAGTAGTAGTAGTAGAAGTAGTAGTAGTAGTAGTAGTAGTAATAGTAGTAATAATAGAAGCAGTAGTAGTAGTAGTAGTAGTAGTAGTAGTAGTAGTAGTAGTAGTAGTAGTAGTAGTAGTAGTAGTAGTAGCAGCAGTAGTAGTAGTAGTAGCAGTAGTAGTAGTAGTAGTAGTAGTAGTAGTAGTAGTAGTAGTAGTAGTAGTAGTAGTAGTAGTAGCAGTAGTAACAATAATAATAATAGCAGCAGTAGTAGTTGTTGTTGTTGTTGTAATCTGCCTATGGTCATGTGGATTGGCGTCTACTGATTTAAGACAAAAACAACGGCTCTATGTTTTGTTTGAGGGCACAAACTTTGTTGGCAGCTGTCCGTATAAGATGGTTCACTTTGCTACAGCTGAAAAGCTCGCGATCATTATGAAACAAGAAGGCTAAAATACTAGAAATAAAGGGAATATAACTCGCAAAAACTTGTTTTAACTAAGGAAACATGTTTCAACGAAGACAAGAAAGAAAGTGCAAAGGAATTAGGCTAACAACAAGGTAGGACAAAATGGAGGATACACCCAAACAGGTGTTTTACAGAGAGAGAAAGACAAATGGAGATATGGAGAAGGAGTGGGGGTGGGGGAAGGGGAGGGGGGATGGAGAGAGAGACAGAGAGAGAGAGAGAGTGTGTGTGTGTGAGAGGGAGAGAGGGAGAGAGAGAGAGAGAGAGACAGAAGATAGAGATGAATGATAGGCCTATAAGACCGGCGTGGTATGAGCTCAAGGAGATGGCAAAAGACAGAACGGCCTAGCTTGTGTTTGTTCAAGGTGTAAGCTCCAGCAAGAAAATAAAAGACTGGAGAACAAAATGACCTCCTGGTCGACCCTGCACTGAGTGGGTACCAGGTACGAGTCCTGGGAAGTTAAGGCGGCCGGCGTGATATTGACCATATCACACACCGAGTGCTGATCGGTCTATAAAATATAGGTTTAGCACTACATGTCCAACACACCTGAACGCAAGGAAAAGGATCCTTGACTTTAGTTACTTTGAGGAAGCCGCAGTAACGTAGTGACATGGATTTCTTTTCAAAACTGACCTTGGCTGCATCAGGCTTAAAATGGGTACCATTTGGGTTCTATTCTTAAGTGAATTCCCGGCTATTTATAAAAAGGGACAACTGGAGTTCTTTTCAGAGGACCGACATGACGGCACGGGCACGCCCAAACATCGGGACTGTTCCGGTGAAAGCAGGGTGTTTGGTCACCCTATCTGTTTACCACAGGGCTGTCAATACTTGTATCCCCCCCCCTTCTCTCAAGATCTGGGTTTTTATACGACGCCTTGGGTTCAGATTGTAAAATCTTGGGTTTTTAAAAAATATATCATTTAAAAGTGGGCAAATGTTTTATTTCATAACTATAAAATTTGTACTTTTTATAATTCTTGATTTTTTTTTTTGTTATTTGTTTTTTGCTTATGTTTTGCTTTTTGAGTCCGCTTAGCTTGGGTAAAAATCCCATTGGCAACCCTGATGTACCATAAAGAGGGCTGCGTCCAAAAAGTGTTAATGTTATAAACAACAAGGGTGTCTTCAAGTTGTGAAGTCTACTGTTGAAACCGACGCTTGTAAATAAAATGACACCTAGTCACAAACGACAGTAAGGTCGAATTGTACTGATAACCCGGTGAAACCGAACAGTGGCGCAAGTCAGGGTTGCCAGATAAAAAACGTCCTTTTATGCCAAACCATCACCCAAAATATGCCAGAAAATTGCCAAATAAAGTGTAACATTGTACTCACTTCACATTAAAAGCTTTAGATTGAATTCTTCACTGTCATCCTCACTGGAACCAGTGGAAGATGCAGCATAAACCTTTTCGGATGTAAAATCTTTAAGCATTTTCTCAGATGGAATGAAGTCTTTGTCACATTTTTTTGATATCAATAGTTCTGCTCTAATTCTAACAACTGCATCAAGAAAATCCAGTTGTATTTTGTTTCTTGCTTTTGATTAAGTTAAAGTAACAAGATAGAACATTATCTCAACTACAGCATTGCTAACGGGCATTTTTAGGCAAGTAAGGGCGAAAGTGGCCAACTCTTTAAATGCCTGGTGTCGAAGTACGCCTATCCAAAAATCTTCACTGTTTGTAGGTAATCCATCCTTCTTAAATGTAGCTTCTTCTTTCCAGTTGACAATAATCAGTTTTCTGTACTGTTCTTCTATACTATTGATGTTGTTTTCTGCCAGGTGTAAAAAATGGTAGCTCTGAAAACTGTGTCCTTGATATTTGATTTAACACTGCCAAAGGGCTCAATTTATGACAGATTTTGAAATATATTCTCGGTGGGAAGTCTACACGTAATATGATTGAGAGCTTCCTCTAAAACAGACACGCATCTTTCATTAAGATTGTTTATTTCTATCTGAACTTCAGTCCTGTTATTCTTCTGTAGGACCGCATTACATTCCGTTAGGAATTTAATACCAAAGTCAATGTGATAATTTTTTTTTCTGCTCACTGACGTCATACAGTCTGTTCTTAAGACTTTTCTGATGCATGGACAATTCTTGGTGTATATTCTTGTTCATGAGGATCAGCCTTTGTTTGTCTTTCAAATTCTTGTACAATTGGTGTCGCAAACACAAAATGAAAATAATTATTGTGGTCTAACAGCATTTCCTTTAACAATCTTACTTTATATTTTGTGTCAAACGTTGTCTCTGCTAATTCAGCACATGTGAAATAAGCTTTAAATTCTTCCCAGTTCACCAACATATTGAACATAATCTTTCCACGCACAAGCCACCTAGCAGATGACAGTTTCTCAAATGGAAGAGGAGCAGTTCGTCCTGATTCAAACTCCGTAGATGTGTTCATCACTCTAAACAGTTCTTTATAGACTTATCTTAAATCACTATGACGAAACCACTGAGGTATTTCTGACACAAGTACTTTTGAGTGGAAACGTCAGTAGACTCATCTATAATGATGGTATATTTCTTGTTCCGAAAATCATCAATAGGGTCATCCTTAAGTGCAGGCGATATAATATTTCTTATTAAGCATAAACATTTAGTTCTATGCAACTGTATGTGCTCCAATGTACTCCCCTGACCATGCGCTCTCATTATTTTACTTAAATGATCAGTTGTACGTATTGCACAATGGCAGGTCATGCTTACAGCAAGTTGCAACTCTGCTGCTTTAACTTTATTTATCATTTCTTTGCCTAGGAGTTATTGTTGTAATAAGCTGTGACTGGCTTTTTGACGGAGTTTTCATCCTGTGTTTTTCGGATTTTTCATGATTTGAAATGCTACTAATTCTCGGTGCAACAGTGCACTGACACAGTTTACAACATGCTGTCACGATCCGTTAAGGAAAACAACAAAACAGTAAGAAATGGCGCGAATCTCCGTTAGTCCGTACCAGGACATCACAACAAAGTCAAACTGAAATAAAGATTTTAACTGTAGGTCTACATTGCTTTCAGTAAATTTGCTTGTTTCT